ATGAAAAAGAAGCGTAGTTAGAAATAGCCACTAAATTTTTTTTTGATCAAATTCATAGATGCTTTTTTAATTCACTTCCATTTTCTGACTACTTAATTTGAAATTTATTTTAGTTGATTTTTATACATCGATTTTTTTTTAAATTAAAATTCTTTGTTGCAAAAAAGTAATTTTTTAATCAAATTATTTTTCTTAATCAAAATATTAGTTTTATTTCTAAATTAAAATTACAAGAGAAATAGAAAAGATGCTATAAAAGTAATAACAAAAACGATATATAGTAATATACATCCAAACAAATAAATTATGTTATCTATTCAAAAAATTAAAGTTATCAAGTTTTTAGAGTAAATATTTTGTTAGTTCCACGTACTCTTACGTGTACGTATGAAATTATTTGTAGCGAAGACGAGTTCTGGCGATCAGGTCAACTGATACGCTCGACAGCTGCGAATGCTAGTAACAATTTAAGCAGTTCAACAAGTCCAGCATATTATAACTCAAAACAATCATCAAATTTTCCTCATCAAAATCAAAATTCGGTAATTCAACCCTTTGACCTTTAACTGAATAATGAAATATCAAGTGATTGGAAACGTAAAAGTGAATAATTTAAAGTGTTTCCGAAAATAATCATAAAAATTTAACTTTTTTGATGGTGAGCGAAGTTTCAAAAATCTATTTTATCGATACAAATTTGGTGATTTCAATGGATAATTTCATGCAAGGCAAATAATATAATGACATAGAAACAAAACTAAATGCACAATTTTTAATAAATAATTTTTAAAATGAATTATTGAAGAAAGTAATTTCAGAGCAGTTTTTCGTGATGTTCTGCTCTTATGATTGAAAATTTTTATTCAAGTCAAAAAAATCAAAAAATTTGAAAAATATTCCTGAAATAAAAATGTGATTTTGATACGGTAAATTATTGAAAAGTCCATTAATAATAGATTGAATGATAGAATAATTACTGAAGTTTTTCAGGCATTAAATGTTAATAGATCTATTTTTAATAACTTAACTGGATTTAAAATGTCAGACAAATCAATTTGTGATTTTTTTTCTCTCAGTTCATTTATTTGACAAAATAAAATCATGCTATTTAATTCAGGTTGAAAGTTGACTGCGTGGAGATTCATTGCAGGTCACGTCAGGTGCAGGCGATATCATTGATACAGAGCATGGATTCACGATTCAGTTAAATGCCAAACATTTTCAACCTAATGATATTCAGGTAGTTTTATCCAGTCTAAAAACAAAAAATAATCATAAAAGAGTCCAAAAGATAATAATTTTTCATTTCTGAAATAGATTTTATAATAGCAAATTTTATAACAATTTGAAATCATACAGATAGTAGTATATGATGCTGTAAATTTTTGATCAAAATTTGAAGTGAACAATTTCAGATAACTTTACATGACCACACTCTTAACGTTTTTGGTGATCGTTTAGAAGACAGTGGTTTAGGAGAGCAGAAGTTACGTCGAAGTTTCACGAGGAAGTATACAATACCTTCAGATGTGCGAATTTCTTCTATTTCATCTTATATGACCAGTAATGGATTGCTAATTATCAAAGTAATTTAATTACTTAGTATGTAAAGTTAAAAAAATACTTAGTTACTTAGTATGTAAAGTAAAAAAAATATTCAAATAATTTGGATGAAAAGTTATTTTTGATAATTTAAGCAATAATCGATAAACTTTTTATTATGATATAAAAAACTATCTTTTTTTACTTCCTAATGACAATCATTCAGAGGTAATTTTTCAGGGTAGTCGAAAAGGTTGGAAAGAAACAGATTTGAGGCAACATTTGGCACCTAACAGCTCAGTGATAAGCACTGTTTGAATCGCTTATGCAAATATTACTTTTCATATGCAAATTTTTTAAATGCAATTATTTTTGAAGCAATTTAATATCAAAACATGAAATTTTTATTATCAATTAGTGATGATTCATTTGATTGAATAAATGCTTTGATCATAATTTATAGCAATTCAATATTTAATAGTATATACACAGTTTCGTCTGAATATCGAATTGAATCAGTTGATAATACTTATCGATTGATCATCTGAATATGTGATTGCATCAGTTGGTCAGTAAATACAAACTGAAATGAAATTTTAATACATTTGTCCAAAAACTTTTTCATTTTATCGACTACAAAGTCGTATTTTAAAGGGCCTAATTTTTGAGTAAAAAAACAATTATTGTTATTTCACATTTGAAAGTAAGCAAACTTTTCTTTTTTTTGCAAGTCAAATTTTAATAACTTAAGAAAACAAATGTGAGTGGAAAAGAATATTTTGCAGTCTCTATTTATACTTAAATTTTTTGCTTTTAAATTTCAACCTTTTTGTAAAGTTCTTTAAATTTCATACTAATGAATGATCTAAATTTCATACTAATGAATGATCTGAATCTCATACTAATAAATGATGTGAATCTCATACTAATGACTGATCTAAATTTCATACTAATGAATGATCTAAATTTCATACTGATAAAATGATCTAATATAAATGATCAGTCAATAAGTGAGTAAAATTAATTCTGACTTTCTGCATCTGCACTTGTCTACAGAATTTTTGATGCAAAAAAAGAAGCAAAATTTAGTTCAAAATAGAGGATAAATTGAGCTATTATTAGTAGACGACTACTAGAAGAAAAAGTAAAAGTGTTGAGCAATGTGATATTGCTTTTGTGCACAAATGTTGCAAGGAGATTAATTCTTCAGCTTTCTTCTTCTCTTCTTGCGCCATTAATTAATTATTCAGATTAGAATGCAATTTCCGATTAATATTGAAGTAAAAAATTTGTCTGGCATTAATAATAATAATAAGCAATAATAATAATAATTGTATTTGTTTTTTTTTGCCTGAAATAATTAGCTAATTTGCAGTTGAAAAATGTAATATAATATGCTACTGTAATTGATTAAATTATTCATTTTTTGAGTAATAAAACTGAACTGAAAAATTAGTACAGACATATGTAAGCCATCTGACAAGTACATAATGAACTTTTGCTTTTGCTGCTACTTAGCACTAAATGATCAAACGAATGAATACACTGAAGTTGCTAGTCTGGAGATGAAAATCAACTGCAAAGAGGAATGAGTGAATAAATAAATACGATAACTGATTGGATCAAAAATGATAAGAATGAACGGCTGCTAGCTTACTTACTATGTTAATCTTCTGACTCGTTAACTTGATGACTCATAAACTCACTAACTTTCTAACTTGCTAACTAATTTTTGACTAAAAAAAATTCTTTTGCAAAAATTTTTTGACAGTTTGTTTCGTTTTATTTTACAAATTGTTTTTAATTTGTAATATTAAATTTTCAGCTTTCTAAGTGTAGAATAGATCTACATACATAGAACATGGTATTTATTTTTCAGGTAAAAACAAAGCAAAGAAAAAAAGTTTTGAGATTGGCGGTAATTTTGAGAAAGAAAAAAATTTCAGTTGGCGGTAATTCTTCTTGCATACTTTGCTTTCTGACTTACTTTTTTCGTGCATTCTTGTAAAATTTCAAATTCTATTAAATGTATAACAAAAAATTAATTGAAATGTATTAATAGAGCAAGTAATATTTTATCAAACAGCTGTTTTCTTGCTGTTTTTTTTTCTTCTTGAAAGCGTTAATTTTTGTTACGTGAAGAAGATGTAAGAGTATTCTTTGAAAGTGTTGTATAGATAATAAACTAATGCCAACGTAGAGACGTGAATGTTATGAATACATTCTAGGAGTGAAGGTGAAGAAAAATGTGCTCTATTACAGGAGGAGGGAAAAGTTTGTTAAGATTAGAATAATAATAAGCTGTGAGGAAGAGAGAATTTTGTCGAATGCTAACTGACTACCTCGAGCTCACACTTCACTTGCTTCAACTTGCTTGTGCTACAACTTGTGGTGCTTACTCGATTTCCTTCCTTCCACTACTAGCTGCCTATCATTGCTCATTTAAAAGTATACTTTCCTCTTTTCTACTTTCAGTCATCTCATCAAATTTTACTTTATTTTAGTTCACTTCTCGGTTTGCTATACTTTACTCTATTTAAAGTTAGTTATTTTACTAGTTTCTTACACTCAGTCACCACATATAACTTCATATTTACTCAAATATCACATTCAAAACAAATAACTTTTTTGGGTAAAAAGAAACCGAGGACAAATCTGTAGGTATTTAAAAAAAGCACCATGCTGTAATCAGCTTGAATGTAACATAATTGTCAGTTCACTCATATAATTTTCGACTTTTTATAGCTAGCTAATCCTGATCACAGGAAAGTTAAATAACTACTAGTATTTACAAATTGATTCAGCAAACATCGCATAATAGCTGTAAGAAATTTAATTTTGTTGTCATAATTAGATCATTTGATAATAATCTCTTGATCTAGTCACAGTTTTGGTAGAAATTATTAAGATCGTAGTTATTGGAAGAATAGAGATATATAGAAGTAAAGGTCGTATGTTACAAGCTTATAAGGCTAATATTATTATTGTTCATTGTAAGCTGATAGCGGTAGAAGTAGCTTGATAATTATCATTTTAATCAAATAAGTGCACTAATTTATCTACTATTATTGTTTTGATCTTTAAGAAATATTAATAAAACTCATTACTGAACTCAAAGTTATAAATTGAGTAAATGAAAGAATGCTAAGTAAAGTTAAAGTGAAAATGATTATACTTTACTGATCAATCACAAGGATATATCTGCGAAAAACCTTTTAATATCTTGTCAGTGTTGATCCATTACATTACTTTATTTTGCATTATTCTAATGGTATAATTTTTGTGTTTTCATTTATCATCACTAGATATATTGTTGTCAAGAAAACTATGATGAGCTAATTGGAAGAGATGCTTGCAGAATATATGATTTTCAGATAGGATTTATTTTGAATAATTAAAAAATTCATAAAATAATTTTTTGAATAAGCAATTATTAATTCTAATAGCGCACAAAAAGATTGTGCGAATTATCTTATCAACAAATATAATGATAAAAATTATTCTTAATTCTAACTGAGGTGCTAGAGTACTTTTCAGTATTACATGGAAAAATTGCTCTGATTGTCATTACAGGAAGAAGAAAAGATCAGCTTGAAACATCAAGCTTAGTCTAGTCTAGATTTTTTTTCTTTTGAAGTGTTGCAAAAAATATTGCATTATAAGGTAGTATTGTAATGTATAAATTTCTTTATAAAACTTGTTAAAAGTAATATTAAGGGTTGAGTTCAAAAGTCATCAGCCTAAATTCCATCAAGTCGAACAAGCACTTTACCAACCATCGGAAAGCCGAACCATAGAACGGTGCACCAAACGGTGCACACAAATCGCTCAATACACATAACGTAACTTTGATTACAGTCGAATTTTTTTATCTATGACATAATGTTATACTTAAAAGTACTATTACTGCTAATATTTTCTACTGAACGGTTAATATCTCATCGGAAAATTTCGGGGTTTGCTGACGCAGCAGCGTGTAAAGGTTGTGTACCACCGTGCATATGTCCAGGGAAAAAAGGAGAACGGGTATGATTATCAGGTTATCAACTTTATTAGTTAGCTACTGCACAAGTTAGTTAGTAGCATTGTTTAATTTTATGAAGGCAGTTTGTTGAATAATTCATTAGAATAATTTATAGAATTGTGTTGTTGCTATAATATATCCAAAAGATAATCAAGTAATATTTTCAAAGATTCTGACAACTTCTATTGGTAGTATTAAGAAATTATAACCGAATTAATTACACTTTGCTGATAATTATTTGTTATCATTTTCTTCATTATCATCATTATAAATTATTTCCTTAAATGTCAAGTTATTGTTAGTATAAAATTTTTGCAGTTTCATGAATAATAATGCTAAGATTGCAAAAGAAATTTATCTTCATCAAATAAAGGACAATTTTAGGGTGTAGCAGGTTTTCAAGGTGAAAGAGGCCATCCGGGAGCACCCGGTGAAGATGGTGGCGAAGGGCCATTTGGTGCACCAGGAATGCAAGGTGCTGAAGGAGACTTTGGTGATCCTGGTATGAAGGGTGCTCGAGTAAGTTTAAAAGAAATAAAATCTGCAACACAAACTTAGTTTGTGACTCTATCTCTATAACCTCTTAGGAGTTAAGCATGAATAGGTTATGTTGAAAAAATTGTCTTATAGGGTGATCGCGGTTTGCCAGGAGCTCCCGGACATGTAGGACTTCCTGGACTTGATGGCTTGCCCGGAATGAAAGGTGAAATGGGTATACCAGGCTGTAATGGAACTGATGTGAGTTTGCTTTCGCACTCATTAAATTTAAAATTTCAGGCTTTTCCATTAAATTACTACCATTTTTTCATTATAAAAAAGTTATTTTAAAGAAGCGACCAGGGATATTTAGATGAAAAGGAGATAAGTGACCAATACTTATCTTTTTATTTTACATAATTATTGCAACACAAATTTTTGCATAATTTCGGCCAGATTTCATTCAAAAATATAATTAGATTATATTAAATTAACTCAAAATTACAGAATTTTAGAACTTTATATCACCTCTGCATGTTTTAGCAAAATATGTTATTCCATATCAGTGTATTACTTTTTTAACTTGAAAGTTAAGAAGTTATAATCTTTTGTAGGGAAAACCGGGATTGCCAGGTATAGCAGGTCCTCCAGGTCCAAGGGGTCCTCCTGGTGAACCTGGACGACCAGGATACCCAGGGCCACCAGGCGAAGGAGGTATTAATTCAATTGGTCGAAAAGGTGATCGAGGTGATTCCGGTCGTGCAGGATTACCTGGTGCACCAGGTTTGCCTGGAATGCCAGGACCAAAAGGTGCTAAAGGAGATGTTGGGCCATATGTAAGTATTTTTAATCAATTTTTTTTACTCCTACTATTCTTGCCTTAAATTACACATTTTACCCTAGCATATTGCAGGGACCACCAGGTTTTCCTGGACCCCAGGGCACAAAGGGACGAATGGGAATGCGAACACCAGGCATGAAGGGTGAGAAGGGTCTAGCAGGACCTCCAGGACCTCCTGGACCTCCTGGTAACTTTGCTGGTGCATCTGCTCCAGAAGAAACAGAAGTGATTCAAGGACCAGCAGGACAGCCGGGTATTACCTTAATCAAACTTATTCCACATAATTAAGTAAACCTGAATTCTGCATTTACTTTATTCAGAGTATCAACATTTGCAGGAATAAAAGGTGAAAAAGGGCGAACAGGAACAAATGGACCACCAGGATTTGCAGGAAGTGATGGGGTTTCAGGATTTCCTGGAATTAAAGGACAAAAAGGAGATCCTGGTGATTTAGGATCGAGGGTGAAATTTTTTACACTTCTGTTTTCATGTTATCATCGTGTATAGAAAGTGGTAATGCAGTAGTATTCTAACGCAACACTTTATTTCCAGGGGAAACGAGGAAAAGATGGCAGCATGGGTTTAATTGGACAAAAAGGTGAAACAGGCATTCAGGGGGTACCGGGTCTTGATGGTTATCCAGGACAGAAAGGTGCTGCTGGTGAATTGGGTTACGATGGTCGGGTTGGTCCTGAAGGTGATCCTGGACCACCAGGAGAGTTCGGTGTCGGAAGGGGAGAACCGGGACCTCGAGGACCGCAGGGATTTGATGGTGTACCAGGCAAAAAAGGACAAGCAGGTTACTGCTGCAAATATTTTTATTCGCTAGGAAAAGTTTGAAGCGTAAAATTGATGGTTTTGTAGGTATCCCAGGCAAAATGGGTCCAGTTGGTGCTCGAGGACTTAATGGTGCTCCTGGTGCTCAAGGAGTTCCGGGTGTGAGGGGGTTGCCAGGTTATTCAGAAAAAGGAGATCGAGGTGCAGATGGAAATCCAGGCTATGTAGGAGATGCTGGTGCACCAGGTGCACCAGGTGAATTCGGAATTATGGGTGAACCAGGTTTGCCTGGCTTTGATATTCAAGGACCACCTGGAGTTGAGGGAAGACCAGGTCGTGATGGATTTACTGGAGTACCAGGTGATGTTGGTGACCCTGGTTTAAGTGGTCTTAAAGGATTTCCTGGCACTGGTGTTTCAAAAGTAGGGCCACCAGGTATGGTTGGCTTGATTGGACCTCCTGGAGAGAATGGCCGCATTGGTTTGGATGGACTACCGGGTGTTCCTGGATACACTGGAGCGAAGGGGGACGATTGTGGATATTGCGCGCCAGGCATACCAGGAGCAAAAGGTGAAGCTGGTCTTTTCGGTCAAGATGGATATCCTGGCCCTATTGGACCAAACGGAAATCAAGGCTTACCTGGAACAAAAGGGTTAGCTGGAAAGCCAGGACGTCCTGGTACTGATGGTCAACAGGTATGTGAAATTCAAAATTGTTTTTAAAGTATTGAAAATGTGAGAAAAAATTGTACTTTTCTAAAAGTTTTGATAAGTTTTAGGGTTCGGAAGGTTTACCAGGTTTGCCAGGTTTTCAAGGACTTAAAGGAGAGGCAGGTGAAATTCTAGGTGGTTTGGAAAATCCTAGAGGATTTCAAGGAACTAAAGGCGAACGAGGAGATCCAGGTGGGTAACTCCATTTTGAGTGATTAATCATAGATATTTCACAATAATAAATATTAATATTTTGATATCAGTAATTATACAGTCATGAAGTTGTATTTTTTCAGTAAATATGTTATTAATATTTGTTTCAGGTGTCCCTGGAAAACGAGGAGAACCTGGTACTGATGGAATTCAAGGGCCACCTGGCATAGATGGTGCACCTGGATTTCCAGGGGAAAAAGGATTACCTGGAATCAACGGAAAACATGGTCGTGATGGAATTGTTAGTTGTCACTAAAAAAATTAAATTGAAATCAATCTTTTATTCTACAGTCATTTCTAGGCAATTTCATACAAAACTGAACTCGATTTTCAGATGAAGAAGGACTACCTAGAAATAGTGAAAACATGGTCGGAAACCTAAGATATGATGAAATTAAAATTAATTAATTTCAGCCTGGGCAGCCAGGGACAACAGGAGTACCCGGTGACTCGTTTCCGGGTTTACCCGGCAGAGATGGTGCCAAGGGTGAACGAGGGGTCGATGGTTTACCAGGTTTTCCTGGACCAATGGGGCCACAAGGCCCAGTATATAGTGGTTTGATCAGAGCTATTCCTGGTCGTGATGGCTACAATGGTGCACCAGGCCTAAAGGGAATGAGAGGAGCAGACGGTCTTCCTGGCTTACCAGGGATACCAGGTCTTGAAGGATCACCTGGAAAGATTGGTGAATCCGGTACTGATGGTTATCCTGGACAGCCAGGCCGAAGTGGAGCACCTGGATTAGCCGGCTTACCAGGAGATGACGGCTATGCAGGTATCCCGGGAATCCGAGGACAACCAGGAGTTGATGGTCTTCCTGGTATTGCCGGAGCTCCTGGTATAAGAGGTGAATCAGGTTTTGGCTTAGCTGGACAAGTTGGTTATCCTGGAGCAAAAGGCGAAGCTGGTAGACCTGGTTATCCAGGATCTGATGGAAAACCTGGAAGGCAAGGACAACCAGGAATTCCTGGAGCTAAAGGAGTTAGAGGTAAAAAACTTGCTCCTTAGTGCGTTTAATGTCTATATTTTAATGTTGAAAACCAATGTCATAATTAAATTAATGCTCTGCAATTGCAAATTTTATGAATTTAAAAAGAGATTTTGTGCACATTTCCAAAAGTAATGATAGACAATTTAATATTAATCAAAATTAATTGTGTTTTGAGAAGAAATAGATATTTTATTCAGGAGAAAATGGTTACCCTGGTGTAAACGGAATTCATGGAATAAAAGGTGAACATGGACTTCCGGGAATACCAGGCAAACTTGGACGACAAGGAAGACCAGGAGAAGTTGGTGCTCCTGGAGTTCCAGGACTGAGAGGAAAAAGTGGTGCGCCCGGTAGAAATGGCCTACCCGGTATTAAAGGAGAAACAGGTTTTGCTGGATTACCTGGTTTACCTGGCAAAACTGGAGTACGTGGAGAACCAGGACTCCCAGGCATGGTTGGTATACCAGGATATACTGGAATAAAAGGAGAACGAGGCGTAGATGGTGTGCATGGTCAACCAGGTTTCGCTGGTGCAACTGGAGATCGTGGACCTGACGGTATACCAGGATTGCAAGGTGCTAATGGAGCGCCTGGTTTCATTGGTGTCCCTGGATTAGATGGAATTCCTGGAAATGCTGGGGTTTCGGGTGATTCTGGTGCGCCTGGTACTAAGGGGATGCGTGGTGAACCAGGACGTTTTGCACATCCAGGACTGCCTGGTGATATTGGCTTGCCAGGACCACAAGGCCCAACTGGCTTACCAGGACTAGATGGAATACCTGGAACAAAAGGACAACGAGGATCACCAGGAAGTAGTTATCCAGGAATACCTGGTTCAAAAGGTGCTACGGGAGAACCTGGAGAAGATGGAACCATTGGGAATGACGGATTTCCAGGTTTACCAGGAATGATTGGGTTCCCAGGTATGTCCTCTTGAGAGTTATTTTCTCTTATTACTATATTTACTTACTAAACAAAAGTGAAATTAGTTTTGAATAATAAAATTGATTTTAAATAAAATTTCCCAAAAATTTAGGGTCGAAAGGCGAACGTGGGGATGAAGGAAGAAATGGAGAGCGCGGTTTTGATGGACGACCAGGCATAATAGGTGTTAAAGGTGAACGTGGATTACCGGGATTACCGGGAGTCGACGGTTTTAATGGCGCACCTGGACTGGATGGTATACCAGGCCAAAAAGGCCATGCTGGTTTACCGGGTGAACCAGGATTCAGAGGCCACAGAGGACAGCCAGGAACACCTGGAAGAAAAGGAGAACCTGGACAATCAGGAAACGCTGGATTTCCAGGACCAGTAGGACCTGTTGGCCCACCGGTAAACAACTGAGAATAGAAAACGTCGTGTTTATTTACAATCTGCAGGTTAAGAAAATAGAAAAGGTACAATATAATGGTGGAAACAATTTCAGGGCATAGAAGGTTTACCAGGACTACCAGGTGCACCTGGTCAAGAAGGAAATTCTGGCCTCCCGGGAGTGCCAGGAGTTAAAGGCATGCGCGGTGAAATTGGTGTTTCGGGACTGCCGGGTATGGATGGTCTCCCTGGTCTTGCTGGTGCTAGAGGTGATGATGGTCTTCCTGGTCCGCCAGGAAAACCTGGATTCGGTATGCTTTACGACTGTATCTCTTATTAGATCTAAATGGTAAGCAGTGATTTTTTCACTCTTTCAAAGTTTTTTTCAGGAAATCAAGGCCAACATGGTGACGCAGGTTACTCTGGAATCGATGGTAAACCTGGATTACCAGGTATTAAAGGTGAACGTGGCGATGCTGGTAGGCCTGGTACGTCAGGAGTGCCTGGTCTTCGTGGGGACGATGGCTTGCCAGGTTATCGCGGTGAAAAAGGCATCGCAGGAATCCCAGGAAAAAGAGGTACATGACAATGAATTTTTATTGAAAATAACTTTGTTTTTAATAATCTTTTCAACTCTTTAATTTAGGTCGCGATGGCGCACCTGGATTACCAGGACAAGCAGGAAGAGATGGCTATCCAGGTAGAAAAGGTGAAAGAGGAAATCCTGGGATACCAGGATTACCAGGAAGGGATGGTGCCCCAGGATACCTAGGAGAACGAGGTGTGCCTGGCTCACCTGGTGTGCCAGGATATGCTGGTAACATGGGCTTGCCCGGATTACCTGGAATTCCTGGACAAAAAGGTACTACTAATGCTAATTATAATTTTTTTACCATCAAAAATTGTGCGCACAGTGACTAAAAGTGTGAACATGAATTCGTTATGTGTAAAAATTCCAGGGATGCGTGGTGACGACGGATTAATGGGTGTTCCTGGTCTTCCTGGACCAGTGGGACCACCTGGAAGACCTGGTCTTCCAGGTAGACCTGCAGCTTATAACCAATACTTACATTCGCCCAAAGGCGAGCAAGGAGCTGTCGGACGACAAGGAGAAAAAGGATATCCAGGAGAAACTGGAAACCCCGGTTAACTTTTTCACTATAAGTAGCTAAAACTTAAACATGAAAATTCCGTAAAATATAATCAAACCGCAGTTGTAAACAGATATTCAAAAAAAGCACAATAAAGAAATGGCCTCCCAAATCCTAAACACTGTCTCTAGAATCTTTTTCATCACAATTAATTATAGGTATGCAAGGACCACCAGGACCAGTAGGATTCCCAGGTTTGCCAGGTCCACCAGGTCATCCTGGACTTCCCGGTATACCAGGCATTAAGGGCGAGCTAGGTCCTAACGGATATCCAGGCTCAGCAGGACGTATTGGTCAACCAGGACCACCTGGACAGATAGGGTTCCCTGGATCACCTGGTGGTTGGGCACCCTCACGTGGCTTCACGTTTGCAAGGCATTCACAATCAACCACAATACCGCAATGTCCTCCTGGATCACAAACATTGTGGAATGGCTATTCACTGCTTTATGTGCAAGGAAACGGACGGGCGAGTGGTCAAGATCTTGGTACGTTTGCTTTCAAAACTGTGTTCAAAGTCTTCTTAAAAACTTTTGCAAAAAACTCTTCATTCTTGCCCAAATTGACTTTTATGTGAGGAAATAGGAGTAATTTTTTTGGCACACATATTTGATCTCCTTCCTATCCATTCCTTTCGAATTCATTGCTCGCATGACAGTTCTAAGAATTAGTTCGGCACATATTTGTAGAAGATACCTCAATGTCAATTAAATGTTGCAATTTCAGGTCAACCTGGTTCTTGTCTATCAAAATTCAGTACGATGCCTTTTATGTTCTGTAATTTAAATAGTGTTTGTCACGTTTCAAGTCGAAACGACTATTCATTTTGGCTTTCTACCACAGAAGCAATGACTCAGATGATGAATCCGGTTTGTTAGCATTTGAAACTAATCAATTCACTTACCCATCTATGTGTGTCTAAAATTTGCATATGCTAAAGGAGATAATTACAGGTGTCAGGTACAGCAATCAGACCGTATATTTCTCGTTGTGCTGTTTGTGAGGTACCAACGCAATTATTGGCAGTACATTCCCAAGATTCCTATGTACCGCAATGCCCGCAAGGATGGTCTCCAATATATTCTGGATATTCCTTTGTCATGGTAAAAAACAAGGAAATAAACTACTAATTTCGTTACCACTTAGACTATTTAACTTTTAACTGACTTCAATGATATGCAAACTACCTCAACCTTACAGCATACCGCTGCGGGTGCCGAGGGAACTGGTCAAAACTTAGAATCCCCTGGAAGCTGTCTCGAAGATTTCCGAGCGGTACCGTTTATTGAATGTCATGGACGAGGAACCTGCAACCATTACGCTACAAATCACGGATTTTGGCTAGCAATTATTGAAAAAGTAAGGTTCCTCTAATTTGCTTAACCTGTGATCAGTAATAATACCGTACCCTCTGCCAATAATTGATATTTCAGAACAAACAATTCAAGAAACCGATGTCACAAACTCTTAAAGCGGGTGGATTAAAGGATCGCGTGAGCAGGTGCCAAGTATGCCTCAAAAACAGGTGGTAAGTGAATTTTGTTTTTTTATCTGACCTTACTATTCTTATGAATGCCTTGCTTCAAGACAGAAACCAAACATTGTTCCAGAACATTCAAGCCGTAAATAACTTCGAAGAAGAGAGCATGTGAAGCTTGTAGAAGTGCCTTGTCTTTGTTATCTCATATTTAAATCCTAATTCTTATTATGCTACTAACAATCTACTGAAAATGTTTACCCATCAATGTAATACTATCAAACACACCTTAGAAGCAACTTTTATTAATTGTTTCTCTTGTATATCGCAAACCACTGCCGAAGCTTTCACTGGATAATAAAGATTCCTACCTACTCTTTCGAGGGTACATCGCACCACTAACCGGTTATACTGTCACATCTGTTGGAATATTTATTACTTGATGGGCAAATACAAAATCAACAAACTTACGCACAAAATAACACCACCAAATCAAATAATGACGGGCTAATTTTTCTTTTCTCCAATACACAAATAACTGCTTCAATGAGAATGATTCCTACTACTATGATGAACCAAATGATCAATTAACAGATAAACTGACCCGCATCACAGTATAACAACCCATCTCTCGTCACAATTATATGAATATACACACACTCATTGTAGATCAGTTTTTTTCCCGTAATTTTTTCAATGTTCTTTTACGCTCTGAAAATTCCGACCTTCCGATACATGTCCAAATCATTCTTACAAACAATATTGAAAGTAACGCATTCAAAAGCGCTTACTGGCCATATAACAAGATAATTTTCTGCGATTTTTTCATTGCTTGAGTTAAATCTAGTATGTAGTGGAGAAATCGTTAAAGCCAGCAGATAGAATTGTAAACTCATAAATATTTTTGACTTGGACGAAGCCTCCAATTGGCACTAGCTTAACATCTTTATGACAATATGACTCATATCAGCAAAAACATAATTTAATTACTGACAATGGTTGTCTTTTCACTAACGTATATCCCATCCAAAAATTTACGAATATCCTTCTTTTTAACTGTTGTTGACTGCTGAATGCGCGCTGCTGAAAATTATATATCATCAAACAAATATAAATTTGCATCTAATCATTCCAAATACATAGAAGGACTACACATATTACAGGACTAAACTAATGGAATATCACGATAGTCAAGAACAGACATCATGAAAATATACCGTTCACGCAGATATGCAATCTTACTGTTATTTTTATTGGAGCGGGCAATACAAAATACTGAAAATTTCAAAATCAAACAGATGCAAATTCCTGACAGGAGGCGCTAATTAACAGGTGCCTAACAGTTGCTGTTCTTCAGTAATCGCATCAGTGATGCTTTGCACATATTAGTAATGAGAATTAAAATTATGCAATGAATTTCAATAAGGAACAACTTATAAGTTAATTACATAAAATGACAGCATCAGTAAATGAAGACTAAAAAAGTATGCTTTAAGGAATGTAAAAAAAAACTAACCAGCTTGTGAGACAAGCTGCAAATCATTGCCGTCAACAATCAATTCGTCTTTTTGTGTTGTAGACATTGCTGCAGTAACACCTTCTGGTAGCGGGACACGCCTTATAAATTTCTCACCCAGAAAATTTCGGATCTAAAAACAAATAATGCATTACACTTGCAAAAAACTGGTGAAACACTGAGTTTTTCAAACATGATAAAACGAATTTTATTAAAAATCTTAGACATAAGAATTGAAATTGCTCATTTTTACTTTAAACAACTAAAAACACATATACTGATTCCATCTCACATTAATAGAAACTAACAGCAGACGCTAGATTTCGCTTGTTTACCTCGAAAAGATAAAAAGGCAGAAATTATCAGCAACAAGAAAAATCAAAATAAAACCTCAACGATAGTATTTTTCTCCTGAAGAGAAATATTGATCGGAAAGTGAGCATAGACTGATCTCATCTTATATCGAAATCCTTTAGTGACACCTTTAATCATATTTTCAATATGTGAGCAAACAGTGCGGATGGCAGCAACTTCTTTGCGTATTCCAAACCATTTCCTGACGCGAATCGTATCTTTGCCAGTCTTTTCTATTTCCATATGTAAATGACGAAAATCCCTCTTGAGTACACCACGTGGACCTTTTACAGTGACTACTCTTTTATTAATTGAAAACTGGACACCCTCAGGGAATTTTACCGTGTTGTGTGACTCAATGAGTTTCATACTTCCACGCTATAATTTCAACATTTTCATAAAGCACAAACAATTACTTTAAGCAAACCGAAGCAACGAAAATCACCAAGTATATTTTAAGTAATCACAAAACAAAATATTAAAATAAGTAGTAAATAACTTTCTCAACCACTGCATTCACTCATGCTTCAGTTAACTTCATCTCAATTCCTGAATAACAATAAACAATAAAACTAAGAGTAAAAAATTTAGAAGACAGTTTTACGACTTCTAATGTAGTACTTCTTTTATCACTTTGTGATAAACTCTTTTTAACATACAAAATTGATAACAGCTACTAAACCTTTCAAGAATATCTCAAATAACACGAAAATCCCGCTACGACATAAAACATACTTCACCCCAACTAATCAATACCCCCCACACTGATTACCAAAATCGCAAAGTCAACCTATGAGGTAGCTTTAGCAGACCAAATATCAAACCATAGTGGATCACTATGCAAACATTCCATCCCTAAAGGATGGCCGTCTGCACTCGTTTATTATTGAGGTTCAGAGTCTCGTAATTTGCTTTGTTTGAAAATTTTGTTGGGTATTGTACTTGTATTTGGAACGCAGAGTACACATTGAGGGCTTTAACTTAATGACTTAGTTGGACAGAACACTTTCACTTTTGATGCAAAACGTGATTGAAACGTGTTGACCGTCAGAGTAGAATATGAATCGTCTTAACATTCAGGAAAAATTAGAAATGCGCGAAAATTAAGCAGAGATCAAATGTTGTAAATCTGCGTTTTAGGTAAAAGGACTGCTGAAGGGATCGCTGAAGAAATGCGAATTAAAAAAAAGGTTGCATTAAATTTTCATTTGAATTATATCTTTGGTAATACTTATATATTTTCTAGTTATGCGTTACAAAATTTCGTATTGTTAAACATATTTATAGTTCTAAATTTTGTATCATCAAGTTTTCAAATCATCTATGGTTTAATGTTTTTCATAGTCATGTTTTCATGAGTAATTTTTTATTTTTCATTTTTTACTCAACCGAACATGGAGTTGTGTAAATGTAAACATAGAGTTTAAAAGTATAAGAAAGTTTAATAAAGTAAATTGTGTAATATGAGATCAGTTAAAGTATGTTCAACGTAAGTATTATTTGTAACTTACATTTTAATATTTCAGTATGAAGCCGGGGCTGCTACCAACTATATTACTCGACCACGAGCCTTAAGGAAATTGCAGTTATCTTTGAAAGATTTCCGTCGTCTTTGCATTCTCAAAGGTATTTATCCACATGAGCCGCTTCATAAAAAGAAGGTCAACAAAGGATCGACTGAAAATCGGATATATTACTATGTGAAGGATATCAATTTTTTGGCATGTGAGCCGATTATTAAAAAATTTCGAGAATATAAGGTATTATTACGTTCAGTCATTATTGTTCATTAGATTTGCGTCTTTGTATAGTTAAATTATCATGATCAAAAAATTATAGTTTTCTGAGAAGTATGCAAATAAAAAATGGATTTTCTATAGACCTTTCATTGCTCTACCTTCTTTTAAGCTTGCTTTTACTTTTTACTTTCAGATTTTCTTGAAAAAATTGACCAAAGCAAAAGCGAAACGAGAAGAAGATCGTGTCAAAAAATTATATGAAAGACGCCCTGAATACCAGCTAGATCATATTGTAAAAGAAAGGTTCGGAAAATATCGCGATTGAAAAGTGTTGTGTATTTTAATCAATTTTTTGCTAAAATATTGATATTTAATTGCAGCAATAATTATATTTCAGATATCCAACTTTCGAATCAGCTCTTCGGGATTTGGATGATGCCTTATGTTTACTTTTTGCTTATTCAGTCTTGCCACGCTCTAAAATTATACCTACCGCTTTAGTTGCTTCGGCTCGCAGGTTAACTGCTGAATTTAGTCATTATATTATCGAATCAAAGGCACTCAGCAAGTTTAGTAATTTTTATTAGTGTTTGTAAGTTCACTTGCTTAAGTGAGTAGTAAAAGATTCAAATGATTATGATTTAATGCCCATTGTTAATACTGTATTATATTTCTAGCTCGCATTCTATTTTTATTGCTGAGTTTTTTACATTGTTAGATATTATGATGTATAATAATGAACGACATTTTCAGGTTTTCGTCTCAATCAAAGGAATTTATTATGAAGCAGAAGTGATAGGTGAGAGGGTAACATGGATTGTTGGTCATGATAGAGGTGTGGGTCATGTAAATGAGGTTGATTTCTCAGTGTTGTCCACATTTGCTGAATTTTACATTTCAATGCTTGAATTCGTCAATTATCGACTATATCACTCAGTTGGACTTTTTTATCCTCCTAAACTTGCTTTTAAATCAGAGAAGGTTAGTCTATACTTAATGATAAAATTTTCAGTTGAAACTTTGTTACGTTATTTGCGTGCTTTAAAATATCACAAACATTTTGGATTCAGTGTGATGATGGTGATGAAATCGAGGAGGAAAGAATATATAGTCTTGCCTATCCACTATCGAAATCTGAAAATCATGAGGAACAAATTGATGTGAATATTGATGATCCTTTTGTCAATGAATTGAATGAAAAATTACGTGATAATGAAAAGAAAAAACAGCTTTTCATAAATTGTCGATTTTGGCTGAATCGTGAAGTTCCAAAAGATGTTCTTGCAATTATTATAAGGCTAGTTTGTTCATATATTTGTAATTCATTACTGAATATTTTAATCTGCTGCACATTTTTTTCTCTTGGAAAAGTCAGGAAAATGCTGCATTTTCAGAAGTTGTGGAGGATTCGTCTCTTGGGAAAATTGTCCAGTAGCACAATATAACGAAAATGATGAAAGAATTACTCATCAAGTAATTGACAGGCCATTGCCAAATAATGTCAGGAATATTAATAGGTTTTTCAGTCTTTTTTCTGTTCTTTTTGTATTTTAAATGAGCATGCCAAATTTGGGATGTCTTTCATGCTAATTGAATTCGTTGTATTTCTAACTATGTCTGAATGGATAAATATGTTTACTTCAATTTTGCACATCTAGAACTAGTGCATTTTATAGATGTTACATACAGCCACAGTGGATTTTTGACAGCTTCAACAAACGAACTCGTCTTCCGGTAAACAAGTACCTTCCTGGTGCAGTTTTACCACCTCACTTATCACCCTTTTCTAGTGATTATAATGCCTATGAGGAACAACTAGAACAACTTAAGTTGCTGAGCAAAGGTTTTTTCTTTTCTTAAATTTTAGTAATATTTCGATGTTGCATTAATCTGTTACAACGAGCTCCAACCATTGACATGTAATATCAGGAAATAAATCCATCGTTCGATGTTGATATATTTCAGCACCAACGAATGTATCGACAAAAACAAAGAAAGCAAAAGAAGTTCTGTCAACAGAAAAAGCAGAAGAAGCTAAGAAAAAACCAAATATGAAAGTCAGGAAAGGCCGAATGCATAGAGAGAACATGCAGCAAAAACTTAATGAACAAGTAAAAATTTTTCTGTGATTTTCATAAGTTTCTGCATTTACTTCGACTGTTTCAAAGCTTAATTTATAACAGCATGTTGGGCTCATGTAGACTATACATCCTCTTATGTGGATGTAAATTTCCATTCTTTAATGTTGACAGTTATAAATTTAGATGTAATTTATTGTATAGCTGAACTTTTTTTATTCCGAGGAAAGTTTAATTTATTACAACCGCTATTTTAAGGGGCATGAACTGAAGTTACGTGAGATGTTGCTACCAAAGAAGCGTAAAAGGGTTTATTCAAAAATTAAGCGTGGAATCAAGCGTCGAGTTCGTGAGGAGAACAAGCTGAATGAGAAAAGGTTGAAATTGCTGGAAGCTGCTAACTGAAGATGTTGAAAATGGTTATATTTCAATTAAATTTATATATAAATTGTTTCTGTTCAATGTTGTGTTTGGAACATTTTTCATAACCATTGAATCATATGGCTAAATTACCAGGCGATATAAAGAAAATTGCTGAAAAGTACTGATGCCTAGTATTGCAAACATATTACAAATGAAAAAATGCATAATGAAATATAAATTTTCGCTCAAAAAGTTGTATGGAAAGTTTGAAAAATCGGTAAGTGAGCGAAAAAGAAAAAAAAACGACTCGATAACAAATAATAAAATTATGATGAAAAAAATTCATGAAATCTGGAAATTGTCATTACTTACATTCAAAGTATGAGTTTGAGTGGTGTGAGGTATTCCTATTCACTACGTTTCATTCATTAAGCAGTGGCATATGAGTATAACAAAGTTGAACCAATGATTGCTTTGGTAATCTTCACTTCGCAGTTTGGTACACAAAAGCAACGATAAGAAATACTCTGTAAGCAGTGCGCGTGATCATAAGTCCTGTTCGAGCACCAAACAAAAACAATATGTCTGGTAGTTCTTCTCGACACACCTTCTGTCCAACACAAGTATTTTTCATGCCAACATTGGCCATATAGCGGAGAAGAACATACTGGGCAAATTACTAAAAAATGTGATCTCTAATTAGATTTTACTTCATACTAGGAAATATATATTTATATCATGACTGCAGTATGTATAGTGAGCAAATATGTTTTTCTAAGTATCAGTTTGTCGAATTACACTGTCACAGAGTAAAGATGGAGCAACACGATTCTCTAGCTTCGTGAACAAAGCATTCCATCATTTGATAAGTAATCGGAAGTGCTCATAAACTACGATCAAACCGATATTTACGTATAAAAGTACTAATTATTCAATTTAACTTGTGGCGTATGTACTTACACATATCCAAAAGCATAATCTGACTGCAACATATGCGTGTCAGAAGGACCAGTCACGTCTTATATTGCTTTGTCTTGCAATTCAAATAACATAACGATTTGTTTGAACGTGTGTTTACGTTTATGTGGAAGGGTTTCCAATTTGTTCGCACTTAAAGAAATCATTTTTACATGCATCATCCAACCAATATTTGAACTTTAACCTTGGCTGCACAAAACTGTCTTATAACTCGTGTGTTCGGTTCGATCTTCCATGCTTACCAAATGAATATAATAATCGGATTGTCAAGTCAATATTCAGATTAACAATAATCTTTACACGAGAATATCTCTCGAATTTTTAACTCACGATAGATAACGAACGAGCTCTAAATAACGACAAATTTTTGAGGTTTTTTTCCATCTGACGAACTATAATATTTGTTGTATAAAACAAGAAGTAATTTTTTAAATACAAATCACTAAAAATTTAACTTGCTATTTCTAGCAATGGTATGCAATAAATTATTAAAATATTTTAGCTATTTTAGACTGATTGATTGATTGATTGATTTGAATCGCTTTAAAACTTTTGATCAAAGCAACCTTTTGATGAGTTTATATAACATTAGTTTAAAGAATCAGGATAGTTTTTCACGTTATAGAATGCAAATTTCTGACATGAAAACTACAAGAAGCCTTAAATTTTAGATCAAAAAATTTAGCTCAAAGTTAAAATCAAATTAACAAGAAATTGACTATTCCAGCTTAATTTGCATCTTGCTAAATTTAGAGAGTATATTGGTTTCATTGTTAAAAAGTATGTTGTAAATAAGTTACAGACGACTTAAAGATTTTATTTTGCATTATTTCTTAAAGTAGCAAAATATAAAAAAGATTTCCATACTTATTTGTTTTATTTTCTTAAGCAAATTTAAATAATCTTGTAGTTTTGTACTCATTGTAAATATATTTTTTAAATTACAAAGTAATTTTAACACAATTTATTCGTGTAAAGGAGAAATTAAAATAGTAAAATAATAATTGGAAATGAATAATAATTAGAAATGAATAATAATTTAGCTTGAAAATGAAATAATAATTAGAAAT